CGCTGTCCCGCCTCCACCGCCGCAGCCGCGCCCCGTGCTGGGGGGGGTGTGGGGGAGGGGTGGGCGTCAGATCGCAAACGAGATAAGCGTAAATTACAGTTTATTACAGGTCTAACGTCCAGCCTTAAGTAGCGTAAAGCCGGTGGAAACGGCCACTCAGTAAAGCAGAAGTTGAAAGTAAAGGTTTCTGGACGCCATAACAGTCTCGTCTTAAAATGGTGAACCCGTGCCAGTTATTGCAAAACAATCCTGCTCAGCGCCTGCTATCTGTTTACTGGGTGTCGGCCTCTGACGACTGCTGAGCTCCCCCGCGGGGAGAGCAACTCCAGAGGCAATAGGATTTTTAAAGTCTTTATTAACTAGCAGAGAATGTTCAGGAAAAAAAAAACATTATCAAAGCGCCCCATGTTTATTCTTTTTTAGCTATACAAAAAGATCTATCAAAACCCACAGAGCTCAGAGAACGAGAAAAATAAACAACTTTGTTTTTACATTTCAGGCTTGCTTTAAAATAAGCTATACACAGGTAATGCATTTGTTTAAATTTTTGAACACACAGATTGGCAGGTGAACTTCACTGACTTATTATTCGAATTAATTTTCATCTTCCAAAGAAGTCAGGAACGACTTGACCTATTAAAAAAAAATGTATATGTATTATTTGTTACATGAAAAGCTAAAGTATCAGGCTTTTCCCTTTATTTGGGAAGAAATTTTCTGTTACTATAGTTTTCCAGGGATGTTTTGCCCTATATTTAATTCAAGACCTGAAATGCATGTGGCATTTCAGAGGGGTGAAGTAGAAGATGGCATGTCTGAGTGTCTGTTCAAAACGAAGCTATTAATTGCTGGTTTCCATGAGAATGTAATGACAAATACCTCTGCAGTTAAGCATTGTGCTCCCCTTAGAAGTTTATTTAGAGCTGTTTAATTGAGGGAATTAGTCTTGGCTTAAAGGAGTCATTCTTCAGTAATCTTAAATTGATGACCCAGAACAAGATGAAGAAAATGGTTTATAGGGTTTGCTAAAAGAGTACTTCCTCATGCTTTTAAATATTAGGTGGATTTTTTTTTTTCCCCTAACCCACAACTCCACCAGAATTTCTTTAGGTATGTACTTCTCAAGTCATGCCTTTCCTTTTAATTAGTAAAACATCATTTTGACCTCTTTATTACCACCTTGTCTCCTCAAATGGGTGTTCATTCCCCCCCTCCCCCCATTTGGAAGTGTCACTGCTTGAATGATAACTGCAGAAGAAAAGCAGATATAAACCCCCCCACTACTTGATACTTACTTTATCAGTTAAGTACTCTTGTTTAATTTTATCATTCTTAAAATCTTCATTAACATCCAAAACTAGAATAGGAATCTCCTTAATGTTCTCAAAATCAACTCTGTTGAATGGAAGAACATGGTTTGAGTAAAAACTACATGAAATACTGTGTATTCAAGACCCCTGCTCTTGATGACCACATGCACCTGAGATGTTGATGCCTAAAACGTAAATACAAAGCTCATATAAAGTTTGTCCTTAATCACTCTTTACATATTTCACAAATGTGAACTCTTAGTATCTATCTGTAATGTACAGGCTGGGGAGAAGATTTTTCCATAATTTCCTTTATCTCATTCTTGTCACAAAATCAATTACCAAGAGTTGATTTTGTAAGATGAAGTATTTTTTTTCAAAATCTCCCTTGTCCTGTATCTTCCCCCACCTAATCCACTTAACAAGATGCATTTTAAAAGCTTCCTTTCATGAGGATAATGTCTTCAACAGGTTGTGAGAGTGATATTTAAAATGTCTTGGACATAAGCAGGACCATTTTGGCTTCTGTTTAGGAACAGATAGGAGCCAGTAGTAAGTAATTATTTTCAGTGTGGAAAGCATTTTTAAAACTCAGTATTTGTGCTGAACAACATCCTAACTTGTGCTCAAACACTTAAGTGTTCCTGTTATAGACAGAGGAAGTGCTTGCTTACAGGTATGGAATGAGTACACACAGGTTTGGAATGAGTACACAACATAAACATTCCCAAAATTCAACACTACGCACTGCCTTCTGTCTCCTAAGCATTTGGGTCATCCTATGTGAAACTCCAGCAAGTAGATCAAACTGATAATGTACTTTTGCTGGAATTGTAATGTTTCCCATTCAGTAGAATATGTTGGACTCCTCTAGGGAAAAGTCTAGAGTATGCTTTCATGTTCAGAGATTCCTTAGATGGGAAAGCCAGTAAGAGTCAGTAAGGAAGTTGAGGGAAGGTGTGCAGAGATCACTCAGTTGCTGATTAGGTTTCTTGTGTGTAACAGGTCTGCCAAAAGTCTGATTATTGTTTAAATTGAAGTTAAGATTAATATTTAAACTTTGTTGAAATAGAGTCTTGCTAGTTTAAAGGTAGCTAGGGCCTTGTCTTGCCCCTTACATTGCAACAGAAACTGCATGGTGAGAAATGTATGATTGACCCTTGAACGTCATTTTAAGTGTCATATTCCTGAGTCCTTCCAACTAGCAAAATCCATATCCTTGCTGGCATTAAAACTGTAAAGCTTCCTAGTTGAAGTTAATGCTTAACAAAGGTTTTAAATTAGATGAAGTTCCATCTGAACTGACCCAGCCTGAAATGGGTGTAAATACAAGTCTGTTAATCTGCCTGAGTGAAACTAGACAATCTAAATTCTATAAAACTAAGGCTTAAGGTAGGAAAGAGCCTTGCCTGCAAGTTAAAACTTGCTACAGAAAATGTATTCCTACCTCATAGTCCTTTCATGAAGCCAGGTTTCATGTTTATAGTGGAGGTTTTCCAAATACTCAAGCTCAATTCCTTGCTCCTCTTCTCTTCCCCTCATCTGTAGTCTTTCCATGCATTTCTAGGGAGAAAAAAAAAAAAGTATAAACTTGGTCATTAGTCATGTGTTGTAGGTTAAATCAGCTAAACGGATCAAGTGGCCCTTAACTTGGAAGGACTAATGCTGGACATTAGTGAGCATTAATTTAAATGCTTGGCTGAACATAAATGAGTTAAATCTAGAAAAATTTTCTTATACCCTCTTAAGCCTCTGGAAAATGAATTTGGAACTGAAAAACCTCTTATTTTTAGTGAGCATACCTGAGGTGTGGTTCTGAGATAGATCATGCCATCCAGTTCTATATCTGATTGAAACTGATTCAAAAGCCATGTGTGCCAGTCCTGATAAATAGACCACTCTGTTTCATTAATGTTTCCAGACTCGAACAGGTTAGAAGCAAATACGTATCTGCAATGCAAGACATCAGTCTCATGCCAGGAATAACAAAAGTGAACTACCAAAACATTGGTCATTAGAACAGAATGATGGTATTGAAAAAAAAAAGCCTTAAGCCTGCTCCCTTGCAGATTTTAAAGTGTTTTCTCAGCTTCATATCTTCAAAGCTCTGGAAACTGTTAATGTGAGTTCTTGATGTGCTGTGGGAGTAATTACCTGTCACTGTATACAGATCTCTCGAAAAATTGCACTGGATGTTCTGCTTCAAGTAGCTTGGCTGAGACAGGTTTTAATTGTGCTTTTACTCGGCTCAAGCAGGCGTAAGTCTGAAATGTGTAAGCCCATCTTGTGGGTTTGTCATACAGCATTTGAAGTAAGTTTCCTCCACTCTTCTGAGATGTTGAAAGTTCCTAGAAGGCAAGGGAAAAAAGTTAATATGAATGTACTGCTTTTCTTAATCCAGAATTCTGATTTAAGTAAGAATTGATGGCTTTCTTTTTATTACTAAGAAAATGCTTAGGCATAGGACCTAAGATCTTGACTCTTTTTCCTCAGGTAATGGTGGTTTTCATGGATAGCTTCTTTGAGTAGTTTGAGTCACAGATTTTAGTGTGATTCCCATGGAGTAGGGGATGTGATTTGGAACATACATTCAGCAATATCTTGCCTTTAGAATTTGAGTGCCTGACCAACTGTGGTATGATAGTGGGGATGACTGGCCGATGCAGACTAAGTATAGCTGGATTTTGGCATAGCTCCCTGGTTGTGGAACTCCCTGCAGTTTCTTCTGGCCCAAACTCTGCATACCCACCTCATACTCATCCTCGGCTGTCCGGATGTTGCACCACTTAGCGATGGGCTCGGGGATTATCTCCCACTCATCGCTGTTTTTCTCCAGCAGCTTGACAAACGTTGACTTGCCGGCAGCTGCGGAAGATTAGAGCAGTTCACAAAGGGGTGGGGGTTGATTGCTCTGGTGCTATTGATGGACAGGGTTTGAGGCTGTTGAGGTGCGGGGCCGGCCGGGTGCGCCGAGAAAGCAAACAGCGCTAATCTGCCACGCCAGAGGGGCCGCGCCCGGCCGGGCGGGCGGTGAGGGCTGCCGAAGAGCAGCCGACATTTTAGGAGCGGCGGTGGCGGGCGGAGCTTGGCGAGAGAGCGAGGGAGCGACCGCGCAGGCGCTGGGACTTAGCACGGGTGGGAGCGAGCCAGCGCTGGAGCCCCGAGCTGGCCAGGAGGCACCGGGGGTTTGTGTTCCCGAGCCCGCCCTGC